ACATCATCGGCGAACAAAGAAATGAACACGTCGTCCATTTCGTCCACTATGTCGTTGATGAACAACAGGAATAGTGTGGGTCCGAGATGACTACCCTGTGGTACGCCAGATGATACGTTGAATTCGTTCGAATCGCTGCTCCCATACACGAATTGAGTTCGGTTCGACAGGTATGATTCGATCCAAGCAAGAAGATTGTCTGGCAGGTTGAACGATGTGAGTTTCAGAATCAATCGCTTGTGGTTAACTCTGTCAAACGTTTTACTGAAGTCTGTATAGAGAACGTCCACTTGCGCATCGGAATTTATGCCTCTCTGGGCATAGTAGGTAGATTCGGTGAGATTAGATGCAGTGGATCTGGACTTCATGAAGCCGTGTTGCTTTTTGGTGATTTTGTCCTGTACCAGAGACAAAAGTTTGAAGTTCACCAAATGCTCGAAGAACTTCGCCACAGTTTGGAGCTTAGCAATGCAACGATAGTTTTCAATTTTCGATCTCGCCCCCTTTTTGAAAATGGGTGACACACTCGAGCGTTTCCATTTGTCAGGAAAATGGCCAGTTGACAATGATTCATTGAAAATCTCGGTGAGTGGAGCCGCCAAATGACTTGCACAGTTTTTCAGTATCAACGGGTGCATACCGTTGGGACCCGTACCTTTCTTTGTGTTCACGGCTTGTAGCTCTTCAAGCACGAAATTGATGTCGAGCTGGAAATCCTCAGTTTGGTGTGACTCAACGGTAGGCGATTGTTGAACGCCTTGAGTCGTTGAGTCATCGTAGTTGCTACTGAAGAAATTAGCAAACAGGTTCAGTTTAGTTTGCTGTGCGCACATCACCAAATTGCATGACTTTTGGTTTGTTATAGGTGCTCTTATTTGAATTGACATATTGCCAAAATCTCGATGCGTCATGCTTGAGCGAGGATTTCATTTTCTCCACGTATGTGTTATAGAGTTCGTTTTAGCAAATTATTATAATTTTGTCATTATAAATCGTATTTGAAATGGTTTGAGATAGTTAAACGAAAAAATTAAAAAAAATGAAAAAAAATATTTTGCACTTTTAGAAGGGCGCGTGAATTTTAAGAGCCTATCGTGGCCACTATTGACGAAAAAATGATATTCGTTGTAAAATTTTGATTTTGAAAATGTTCAAAATCGGCAAAATATTTTCATTCTCACACATATAATTGTCCAGAGATTAAATATTTCTCAAGTTGAATTTGGCAGTGATAGAAATAAATGATGATGCTGTTGAAAGGAATGAATTGAAGAATGAACATTCAAATTGAAACTCGATAGTAACTTTATTGAAACTTTCTTTGGTTATAAAAAAGTTATATTTTGGTTATATGACAGTATGCGATTTATGAGCATGGCTATTGCAACGATATAATAACATAACTAAAATCGAATTATAACCGAATTATAACCAATTTATTACAAATAAGCCCCGCCTCGCGGCTAAACAGCTTACAATACGGTTATTGTAACGTTAAAAAGATCGGCTTGCAACACCTTTGGAGTTGTATTTAAGTTATAGTAACCCATTTGCAACCGAGAAAAAGGGGAAATTCGCTACTCGAGAAATGGTATTAAATCGTGTTAACATGACCATGATGGGCCGAGATGGTCCCAAAAAAAACCCCTACGGACTTCCGCCAACCAAGACCGTTCCAACGATGTGTAGCACATGCAAATCGGACAACCCGTTCGCCCACAAAATGCGGCATAATATTTTGTCTGAAAAAACATGACTAAGTACTAAATTGTGAAAAACCTTTACTTTTGGGTATTTTTACGGTTTTCAACATTTACTAGATTTTAGTACATTTTTAGTACTTTTAGAACATGGTATGCAAAGGTCTTGAGGAGTACTAAAGCCACAGACACTATTGCTCTACTAGTCGTTGAGAAGTTATAGGACTTCAAAAATTTTGCAAAAAAATTACAAAAAATCGGAAAAAATTGAAAAATTCCAATGTAAAACCTCTTCTTATGCCCAAATATGTTCAGTCGCATTGAAATTTCTCGAAAACTGCCAGGAAAAACGAAAAAAAAAATGTCGTGAAAAATTTTAAAAATCGAAAAAAGTCCAAAAAATAGGTAAATTCCTGACGGTTTTTGCGCCAGATCATCACGGAGGACGGTAGTCCGACAAGTGACGCTTCATAGACTGTGCATTTCAAGCCAAATATCATAATGCCAGTTTTTGCGTCACGAGTATATATAGAGTAAGTATGCTATTTTCTCAGGACACTATTTGGGCCCCGGCATGTTAGGTACCGTTGGAAAGGTCTTGGCCCAAAAAGTCGGAAACAACATATCCTCATTGCCTAAAGTGTGGTCTAGGCAAAAATATAGCGGTTGGAAAATTTCGCTAAATTTTCAAATCTATACCCATATCTTACGAAGGGGGTACCCAGGGGGTGGTCTGAGGTGTCCAAGAGAAGCTGCTCCTCGCCACCTTTCCAACGCCGGTCCAAGCGCTCCGATTAGTCTAAAAACAAAAAAGTTATGGGTATTGGCAGTTTGATCTTGATTTTCTATGAAAGTATTGATTTGGATGTGCGTTCGTTCGTTTGTCCGTACCTTCTTCGGTTTCCGATGCGCATATGCCTTAGTTGTAGCTAGTGTCGAGACACGTTGAAATCCGTCCTCAGATTGTCATTTGCATTACAGGAGAGCTGGCTATGGCTTCACTAGCCTGCATTTATACGATTTTTTCAAGTATTTATTTCGCACACTAGATCAACTCAGACACCCATCGAGTAAAGTCAGCTCGTAATTATTTGAGAAGACCTTCAAAAAGTTCCATACATACATGCCAATGTTTATGTGATATAAAAGAAAAAAGTCGATTTTTATGAAAAATCGACCCCCTTAAATTTCACACCAAACGCGATTTCTCAAAAATCAGCCCTACAATGTTTTACCAAAAACTGAGCGTTTGTAGCCGGCAACCATACCAACAAAATGGCATATGCCATATATCCGGGAAAATTCGTATTTCGAAGTTCTGGGCATAGGCATTTCATCAATGAACGGAATTTGTACGAAGAGTCGCATTCTACTATGAAATTGCTGCCAAAAATACGCATCTACTGGCTGAAAAAGGCTCACGAATGACCATATCCGCTCAATTTTCGACGAACAATCTATTAAAAGTGGTCACACTGCGATCTGAGGCCATTTCATGGTCGAAAAATAGGTCGGATTGAAGTGAATTTTTCAACTTGCTCTATTTTCACTGAAAATGACATTTTTGTTCGGAAAACACGTGAAATACACCTCTGACGTCCTTTTGGTCTTAGAAAACTGCTATTTTTTCGTGAAAATAATGGGAGTCCACGAACACTTGAGTATCCATTTCGTTGTCATTTTGGTCTTAAATCGGCATTTTGGCATCTGAATGTATGGAATTGAACTTTTTTTCGGGGGATACATAAAAAATGCACTTTCCAGAGCTTTGATGGTTGGAAATTAATATGTTTCAATGAAGTAATGGGTCTAAAATTACTTCAAAACTCTTTTAATGGATATTTTGAAATTTAATCACATTTTACAATGTCCAATAAGGGGAAAATGGGACTTTTTTAATGAAAGTGGACATTTGCTATTTACAAAACTTGCGAAATGTGGATGCAAATGTTTTACCCGAAAAATTACAATTTCCCAATGATAGGACCTTAAAATAGACATATTTCTGGCAAAAGTGTATTTTTTCCGAGAATAATTGCCTTACAAAAGTAGTGATATCAGATGAAAAACCTCTAGACGATGTAGTGAATTCAACTGCGACATCGGCCCATTGGGCAATAAATCAATTCAATAAGAACAAACGACGGACAACAACATATTTTTAGTTGTAATTCAATATTCTTTAATGAGACTTCTCTGATTTACGGTTGACATAGAAGTGATTAAGCGAATGAAAGACTTGAAGCATGAAAGGTAGAACACGAGTGAAAGTAAGAATGTCTTGAGTGTGTTAGTTTAAAAGTATGAATGAGCTAAAATGAGTGGTATGGTAATGAGTAATTATTGTATGAGTTATGAATATGAGCAGTTATCACCTCAACGAGGTTAAAATGGAGTGACGCTCCTGTGCGTGGATTTACCACTCAAAATGACTGATATCATTTTGAGTGACGCTTGGACGCTGTATTACCTCTGGGTACGAAGTTCAAAAGTGTTTTTCGCATTCACTATTGTGAAAATTTACTCACAATAAGGAAAAATATCTTGCGTCACGACTTTTGATTTTAGATCAAGTTTTCAAGCGTTTTGTCGTCTAAAATGGAGCCGCCCCACAAAACGACAAAATTTGACAAAAATCAAACTTTGGCGAGTTTGTGCTCACAACCAGTTGAAGCACCAACTCTGAGACTTTGCATACGGTCAGCACAAACTCCAAATTTTATGAAAACCACCCCAGGACAACAACATTCGGCCTCTGAGATGGAGCCGCCCTGCAAAAAAAATTTTTTCTTCAAATTTTCAACTTTGCCGAGTTTGTGCTCGCAACCAGTTGAAGCACAAACTCTGAGGTTTTGCATAGCGTCAGCACAAACTCCAAATTTCACGAAAATGATCTCAGAACAACAATTTTCCAACATGGGGGGGCCAGCCACATTTACCTATTTTTGACGTGAAAATAGGTTTGAGCTGTTTCAAATGGGAGGCTGATTTCAAATCAGTTACTAAAAATTTTTTTTGTATTTTTTACGTCAAAAATCAATGAAAAACTAAATTTTTTATCCGTCCGTCCGTCCGTTCAGAGTCGCCAGAAATGTTGTTGAAAAAAATTTCTAGCGGCTCTGAACGGACTGACGGACAAAAAAAATTTCAAGAGCCCTGGACGGACGGACGGACGGGCTAAAAAGACGGACAGTCCGTCCGTTTGACACCTTTAGATTCGGTGTCATCCCAACGATCACAACGATATACAAGAAAATTCGGAGGAAAAACTTCTTCAGAATCAATTGTGCCGTCAAGGCGGGTCTCACAAAGCATAAATATTGCTGAATCAGAGGCTAAGACTTCAGCATTGAATTGCATCGTCCAATATCTTGTGCAGAGCAAGTTCACTTTCTCAGTGATTGTCTTTCCATGGAATACGTTCTCAAAACGGATTCAAAGTAAACAAAATAATGCAACACCAAATCACATTAGCAAATGAGTAGAGTCCGGTCTAAATGTCCAAAAACCGAAGAAAAAAAATTCGGACTTCGGAATGTCCGAATTTTTTTCGGACGGACAATGGTATTTGTTCGAACTTCATCCAATTTTCTTTTGAATTTTTTTTGGGCTTGAATATATTTTGGCTTTGAATTTTTTTCGCACGTCCGAACTTATTTATTGGTTTTCGGACGGACGGACACCCGGACATTGATTTTTGTCCGTGTCCTTTGACACCTCTACAAATGAGTCGGTTGTGTTGTAGTAATTTAAGAGAAGTGTCAGCTCTGCGTTTCGTCCCAAAATCACGCCTCATGTGAAACCAATGAAATTGGATCCAATTTCTTTTAAGATGTTTGTTCACAGTTTTCAATGGAAACCGAAATTATTATTATTATTCTGCGAAATATGTTTAACTTTTCTGGACAATTATCTTTTGTGTGATTTTGAGTGATTTTACGAAATTCTACTGTTTTCGAAACAGACAGTTTTTTCGCTTCGAGAAGTGTGAGTTGTGTTAACATCATTTGATACAAAATTCTTTTTTATTTAATTTGAAATCTATGATTTTTCTTTATAAGGTTATGAAAAACACCCTAATACATATAATTTTTTTTTTCAAGCAATCCTTAATAATACAATGATAATTACGATGAATTTAATGCCCAATAAAACAGAGTGGAACTTTGTGACTCATACAAATGTTGGTGTTCATCTTTATTACTAAATTACAAGAGTGCAAAAATATTTTTTTGACGTCATTGATAAAACATTTATTCTACTGGGCATACGACCATGTCCGTGCAAGATCAGGCTTCTAAAATGATTAACAACAGCAGTCCACACCATGAAAACATTTTTTCGGTGCACCGATCGGTTACGATTGTTACACCTCAACGATCCAATTCATTGGATTATCTGAACTTTGAAGAAAAACGTCAACTAATTGCTTCAACGTTATCACTCTCAGAAATATTGCAGTGTGGTCCGGCAGCAGCAGCCGCACATGCAGCTAAAGAAATAGCTGAAAGTACTGTTATTGGTAAGTGTATATAATATTCAGTAAAAAATGTCTAACAATAAAATATGTAAGATTTACTGCTCCACATATCGACCATTCCACTCGAAATCATTCAAGAATTGGATCGACCATCTCTGAAATGACTAAAAAATTATGGAGTCTCATTTGTGATATTTATTTATTTATTTACACCGCTAAAAATCTGACTGAATATTCAGTTTTGCAGAAAAATGACTCCAAGAGTCATGAAAAACTTGATCTTTTGTTTTTATACAATTGAGTTTGGTTTGATTTTTACGTAGATTGACAAGAGTAACTACATTCCATTATGAATAAATAACAGGTCAAAAACAATCACCAACTCAATGGATGGCTATATCACAGTCATTATAAAAACTCACTGCAGTGAAAAATCGGCCAGTTTATTGTCGTGTAGACAAATACGGATTCTCCCGAAACTGCTGTACCACTGTTCGCCGTTGTAAAACTACTAAGGACAGAATCAACGTTATCCCCATCATTGCAACTACTAAATCATCGTCACTATCCATTTTCGTTTTTTGACAAAAAAAATCCTTAATTATCATCAAAATAATCAATTTACGTTGAAGAGCAACTAAATTTTATCTTTTCTTAACTTGATTGTCATTTACAATGCGGAGAAACGTCAAATTTGTTTTGCTCAAGAGGATTGTGAGCAGACAGTTTTTCGCATGTATAAACCAACCATGCAAATAAATTGAATACAAATTTCTTGCATGTCTAAACCGACCATGCAAAAAAAATTAGCATTCACCTCAAAACAAATTTGCATGCAAAAATTTTTGCGCGAGAATTTTTTTCGCATGGTGAACTGTAAACTAAGCTTGAAGAGCTATAAGCCATAAACACCAAGAAAGGTACGGGTCCCGATGGTATGCATCGGTTGATACTAAAGAATTGTACGAGTCATTTGGCGGCTCCACTCACCGAGATCTTCAATGAATCATTGTCGACTGGCCATTTCCCTGACAAATGGAAGCGCTCGAGTGTATCACCCATCTCCAAAAAAGCGACACTGCGCCTTCTTGACAGTTCTCATATAAATGAGCCCAGAAGCGCCAACTGGTGCAAGAACATGTAATAGAACCGTTGTATACCAATAGTATTAAAAGTTTAAACGAAATACTGTTATTGACTGTTTTGAATAGTAGCTCTTTCACATAAAAACATAAAAATCTGCTTGCATTACACTGATATCTCTCTTATTCCATTGATATTTTTTCCAAATGAGAAAAAAAAATATTTCAAGCTTCAATTGCACAGCATATCACTATTTATTTATTTATTTATTTATTTACACCGCCAAAAACTGGCTGAATACTTTGTTT